GAATACCAAGAACCTACAACCAAGATTACTTTATCCAGCAAAGCTATCATTCAGAATTGAAGGTCAGATAAAGAGCTTCACAGATAAGGAAAAGCTAAAGGAGTTCATCACCACCAAACCAGTATTATATGAAATGCTGAAAGGTATCCTTTAAGAAGAGGAAGAAGAAGAAAAAGGTAAAGATACAAATTATGAACAACAAATATGCATCTATCAACAAACGAATCTAAGAATCAAGTGAATAAATAACCTGATGTACAGAATGAGCTGGTGATTATAATGAATCAGGGACATAGAAAGGGAATGGACTGACTATTCTTGGGGTGAAAAGGGGTGTGGGAGATGCGGGAAGAGACTGGACAAAAATCGTGCACCTATGGATGAGGACAGTGGGTGGGGAGTGAGGGCGGAGGGTGGGGTGGGAGCTGGAAGCAGGGGAGTTATGGGGGGAAAAAAAGAGGAACAAATGTAATAATCTGAACAATAAAGATTTAATAAAAAAAACAAAAAACAAAAACAAAAACAAACAAACAAACAAAAAAAAGAAAGACGCCTTCCAGCAGTGGCGATGCGCCCTGCCAGCAAGTTGAGCTCCCCTGCACCATCGTCTGAATAGACTCGTGCCACGAGGGAGCCAGAGCGTCCTGTGAGCGGAATGCTCAGTCGGACCTGAGGTCACTTCCCAGTGAGCATTCCAACTTCCCAGGCTAGGCAGCCTCCCCTGTGTGTCATAAACCACGTGTCCTCACCACTGTCTTTGTCAGAGCGACATTCGGAGCCCAGGTGCTGTGTCGGGCATTGTGACTGTTCATACACCACATGGTTTATTCTCAAAATGACACTTGGGTAGAGATGACAACTGTCCTATTTCACAGCCGGGTGCACGGGAGCAACTCTTGGGGGGTGACCTTGGCAGGTGGAGGGGTCAGCATTGAAAGAATAAAGGCAGGAAAAGAGAGAGAAGAAAGAAAAAAGACAGCAGTAAAAACAAAGAGCAAAAAGCAGGTGCGGTGCTGATGTGCAGGCCTCGGGCCCGCGCTGTAGTGAGCTCATCCACGCAGCACAGCTGCACGCAGGGGCAGCTCCCCCGGGCCGCGGGGCGCCGAGGTCAGGGAGAGCCAGGTTTGGTCTGCGGAGCACCCCCTGCCCACACGGGGAGGGAACTCTTCCACTGCCCCCCTCTCAAGTTCCCAGAACGAAATGTAAGCCTACCTATGTGTCCATCTGAACATGTGCATACACACACAGACACGCCCCCGCTCACCTGCACGCCTGTGGACGTGTGTGCGTGCGTGTATATTTGAATGTGGTGCCTTAGAGAGTCCCGTTCACCACGCGGAGCCACAGATGTGAGGAGCAAGGCCAGAGCGGAAGCGAGGCAGCCTACGCACCGTGTCCCACATCACGACGTACACGTCGGTGCTGAAGGAGTTGTTCACGTGCTGAGTGAGGTACAGGTTCAGGAAGTCGCAGAAGTGGTGATACATGTTAACACCTAGCGTCGGAGAAAGAAGCCTGCGTTAGCGAACCCCGGAGAACACATGAGCAGACAATTTTACTCCACCCCTTCTGTTTATCACATGATGGACTTTTAGCTGAAATAAATGAGAGAGAAAAGAGTTTTTCCAAACATGACATGATCTATACTCAGGCAATCCTCAATTTACAGACTGATTGGGTTCAAAAATTCACTCTAAAATTGATTATTTAGAAATCAGGAATGCATTTTCCCATATAAACTAAGTAATAAATAATCATTAAGTTCCCGGGGGGCGAGGGGAGTGAATAATACAAGTCTATTTATCTCAGAATTGGATAGAACTATAGGACCATGAATTTATTTTTAGGATCATTTATTTTTAAAATAAATTAGGCTACACCTGTTCATCATAGGATTGAAAAGGACGGCAACTATTAGCATTTGAGTATTTTTTCATTCCTGTCTCTTTTCTTCATACTTACTCACTACTTACAACATTGCTCCTTGGGGAAATATTAGCCGACTATTGTTTAAAAGGGCTGGATGTGTTCTAGTTGAAGGAGCCTGAACTTTGGAATCAGAGGAACTGGGCTGAATCCCAGCTCAGCCATTCACGAGCCACGTTCTCAGACAAGTTCCTGAGTCCCTGAGCTCCTCAACTAGAAACAGGAAATCCCTACACTGAGGTGCCAGCTTTGTTAGAAATTACCCACAACTGCCCAGCAAGGGCCTGGCAGCATGAAACAACGGCAACTGGCTGGGTCGGGCTGGATCAGATGGGTGGAGAGGAACGAGAGTCCCAGGCCCAAGTACACCCCACCCAGGCTCAGCGCACAGGACCCAGGATTCAACCTGGAAATGTGCGACTCTGAACAGGATGCCATTCCAGGAACTGGCATTTAAAACATGTACTTTAAAGGAGGAAAAACGTTTATTAAAAGAAAAAGTGACTCTTAAGAGCAGAAATCATGAACTATTCTGACTTCATTCCCACAGTGAATAAGTACATTGTGTGCCAGAAAATGAGTTAAAAAAAAATCAGCTCTTTTTTTTAATCCTCACCCAAGGATATTTTTTCCATTGATTTCTAGAGAGAGTGGAAGGGGGGGGAGAGAGACAGAGACAGAGACAGAGAGAAATATTGACTGGCTGCCTGCTGCACGCACCCCAACCAGGGCTGGGGAACCTGCAAGCGAGGTATGCGCCCTTGACAGGGAATCGAAACTGGGACCCTTCAGTCTAGAGGCCGGTGCTCCAACCACTGAGACACACTGGCCCTGGCAACACTCAGTTCTTTCTAGACGAGTCATTTAGGTGGATGTTTGGAGGGACTCCTTTTTCACCCAGAGAAAGGTTGGCAAAGAGTATATTTTCAAATAAACAAGAAAAAGAGAATTCCATTCCAGCACAGCCCTTTGCCCAGGCCAGCCCCAGGCGCACGTGCGTCACTCAGCAGGTTCGCAGCACGTGCTTGCAGCACAGCACACAGAACAGCGCGCGGGCCAGGAGGGTTCTAAGCCGGAACGATCACAGGCTCCGTCCTCAGACATGTGAGTCCTGCTTCCTCCCAGCCTCTCATTCTCCCCGGGAAGAGTGCCCATGAAAGGGAGACGGGACGCAGACGGGACGTGGGGCGGGCACACAGTACAGTGTGCACTGTGCACCTGATTTTGTTAACCAGTTACCCCAATAACTTCAATAAAAAGGAAAAAAGAAAATAAATGGATCGGCAAATGAAAAAATAAATAACTTCACTGAAACTCTGTATTACAAAAAAAGGAAAACGGGAAGACAGCATAAGTTAGAAGACAAATGTAGAATAGGAAAGAACTGGCCGATCACTCCCCCTCAACATATGCTACTGCACAGGTATCTCAGTGCACACATTCAACCCTTTTACAGGCAAATCAGTGTTTTCTTGGCCCCTTTTAATTAGCATATTTTTTAAATGAGTCAGGACATCAAACATAGCATTTTTACTTGCTCTTATTTTTAAAAATGTAAACTTGTCTGATTCCCGAACTTAATACTTTGTAATGTAAGAATTATGACGTCAGAAAGCAGAACACATTAAAAATATGAGCAATAAATCATCGTAATGCTAAAGCAGCCAGGATGGAGAGCTCTGTTTCGCCGAAGGCCGGCGCTCATGAGCGTGATGTGTGCGGCAGCGTGACCCTCACCTCCCACAGCAAGCGCCCCCTACAATAGCCAGAGAGAAACTGAAACTTATGTGAAGATTAGTCAACAGAAGGCTCATGTACTGTAAAGTGGAGTTCAGAGGGCCTGCAGAGGGAGCTCTGCTACCCAAACAGGAAGAAAACCTCCACAGGAAAATGACTGCCCCAGGACTGCAACAGTAAGAAGGAGAATCTTTTCACTTAGGAACCCAACCAACCAATGAAAGACGACCACAGCTCAGCCAATGAAAAGCTGCTGCATTCCAAGCAGCATGGGAGCATGCGAGCGCAGCACGATCCACGTTGCCATGCAAGACAAGCAGCTCACAAAGTGAAGCGTGCTTACAAGTTGAGAGTTAGAAGGTTTATGCATAAATGGGAAAATCACTGTAATTTCAACTTTTCCCCCAAGAATATACTGCAAACCCAACTTCCAGAGGAATCTGAAATTTACTCCATCATGGGAACGATGTCAGAAAGTTTGCAGAAGAGGTCACGGACCCTTTCCTGCCCGCAGGGCACACATGGCTTCTACTCGGAGGAAAGTCCCAATGAAGCTCAACCTACATCGAGTGCTTTGGGAAAGGTGATGGGGTACATCTAGTTTCAAAGGTATTCATACACCTCTTCTCTGGCCTTTTGATTCTGATTGAGTCATTTGATACAAATATGCAGATTTCTTCTAAAATACCAAAGATATTGAATGAAGGGAAATTCAAACCAGTTCACTGCTTCAGAGAAGAAAGCAGAAAGCAAACCCACTGTTCAATGTCATACTGCTTCCCAAAAGTTACCGGAAATCACATAATGTATCAGAAAAGGAGCACTGCCCTGGCTGGGTGCCCAGGTGGTTAGCGTATCGTCCAAGTGAGACACGTTTCAGGCTCAATCCCCGGTCAGGGCACATGCAAGAATCAACCAACCAATGCACAGATAAGTAGAACAACAAACCTCTCTCTATCTCTATCTCTCTCTCTAAAAATCAATAAATAAAATTTATTTAAAAGGAATAAAGCCTCATTAACTAATAAATTACAAATTAACTTCTCACCTGCATCCAATTTCATGAAGTAGGCTGGTTTCTCAACCACAATGTCACATTTAGCGTCTTCTATTGGTCTGAAGTTGAGCTGAGTGTAGCTCTGGAGCTCAGCGAACCTGGAATTATGAATTGGGAGACGCTTTCAAAGTGATTCTCCTGAATCTCCTACTGCAACACTGTTCATCAGGGTGACTTTATTCCGGAGCAGCCTCCTAGGAAGACATGTGGACCTTCCCACTTACTAACCTTACGTAACTCGCTGTGGATTTTAACACTGAGACCAGGAACAGAAATGATTTTACATCTCAGTGCGATATACACTGATAACCTTCCAGACAAAAGAAAATTTGCACAGTGAATGGGCTAAATAATCTACCAGCAGGCGGGAGGATCCAAAGGTTTCTGCAGTCTGAGGAGGCTGGGCAGTCACCCTGACCCTGAGGCTCCTGGGCATGGGCTTCCTGGATCCCTGGAAAGACGGCATTCCAATCCAAGAATTATCGGTGTCTCGGAGAGCCAGCACACAGCTCAGCTTCCCAGCAGAAAGGAAAGTCTTTGTCTTGGAAGCCACAGGGCACAGGTCCCTCCCATAAAGAAGGCAATCCACCCGCAGGGGACAAGAGACATTTAGCGTCAACCTGAGATCCTTTGCAGCACTTCAGCTTTGAAACCACGTCTGATGTAAAACAAATATCCAATAGGTCCTTTTAAAATACACAAGGGTGAAATATTGTGGTTTCAGAAATATGTCCACAATTCTTTGAAACTTTTCCCTCCCCTGAGTGTGGGCTGGACTTAGTGATTCACTCCTAAGGAACAAAGTGAGGCAGCGTGACGGTGTCACTTCTGAGACTGGGCATTCTCTCTCTCTCTCTCTCTCTCTCTCTCTCTCTCTCTCTCTCTCTCCCCCCACATGCTCTCTAGGGGAACCTGGCTGCCATGCTATGAGTAGGAAGAGACCCACATGACAAAGAAATGACACCCCCTACAATAGCCAGAGAGAAACTGAAACTTATGTGAAGATTAGTCAACAGAAGGCTCATGTACTGTAAAGTGGAGTTCAGAGGGCCTGCAGAGGGAGCTCTGCTACCCAAACAGGAAGAAAACCTCCACAGGAAAATGACTGCCCCAGGACTGCAACAGTAAGAAGGAGAATCTTTTCACTTAGGAACCCAACCAACCAATGAAAGACGACCACAGCTCAGCCAATGAAAAGCTGCTGCATTCCAACTCCCAGTTCCCTCCAATGGGGTCTTTGTTTATAATAACCCTCTAAACTTCCCCTTCCTATATAATAAAAGGCTAATATGCAAATAGACCAAATGGCAGAACAACCGAACAACCGCGCGCTGACCACCAGGGGGTGTGTGCGGAACATGGCAGGTGTCGGCCGCGGCGGGATGGTGGAGCAGGTGAGCGGGGGCGCCAGACTAAGGCGGGGTGCCGGTTGCTGTCATCAGGGTGAGCCTTTGGTAGTTACTGAAAATTCTTTGCTCCCATGCACCGCGGTCCCACCCAGTGCTTGCACCTGCTGCCTGCACTGACCCCCTGGCCCTGATCGTCCCTCGGGGCTTCTCCACCTCCCCCTGCTCCTGAGGAGCGATCAGGGCAGCAGCCACCGCTCACACCCACTCACAGCACCAACCCCACTCACACCCACTGCTAGCTCCGGCCCCAATTGCTCCGCTCTGTCAGCGATGCGAGCAGGGCCAGCGCCATCAGCACGTGAGAGCGGCGGTGGGGGGGGGAGTGGGGCTGCCGGCAGACAAAGAACCGTGGGCCATAGAGGGAGGGGCCGGGCAGGGGTGCTGAGGATGGGCCAAGACCCGCCCCTGTGCCCACAGCAGCCTCACTCGCAGTCCACAGTTCCTTTCAAGGTGCACAAATTCGTGCACTGGGCCCCTAGTTTCTCTATAAAATAATGTTCTTCTCTTTGTCCTCTAGACTTGGGCATGGCTCACCTTGAACGTGCGTGTACATAATTGCAATTCTTTGATATACCCAAATAAGCATATTTTGCTAGAGGAATATCAAGCTGCCTACTTGTTTAAGGTCAACTGACAACATGCGTGAGCTCAGAAGCAACCTCCGGGCTGCTGAATCTAGAGTTGACTGCAGCCCTTGTCAACAACTGAACTGGGACCCCGTGAGAGACCCTGAGCCGGACCCCTAGGGTGGCTGCCTCCAAATCCTGACCACCAGAAACCTCATGAAATAATGAATGTTTGCTGTCTTAAACTGCCCAATTTTGGAGTAATTTGTCACACAGCAATAGATAATGAATGCAAATATACACTAGAGCAGTGGTTCTCAACCTTCTGGCCCTTTAAATACAGTTCCTCATGTTGTGACCCAACCATAAAATTATTTTCGTTGCTACTTCATAACTGTAATGTTGCTACTGTTATGAATCATAATGTAAATATCTGATATGCAGGATGGTCTTAGGAGACCCCTGTGAAAGGGTCGTTCGACCGCCAAAGGGGTCGCAACCCACAGGTTGAGAACTGCTGCTCTAGAGTATATTATGGAGTAATGTGTTGTATGGAAATAAACAACTAATACAAACATACCCTAAGCAACCACCATGTGAAATCAGATAACAAAATATACAGGACTAAGAACGCCCATTGGAACACAGAAGCTCCTACTGCAGAAGTCTGTTAAGTCAAAGAAGATACCGCACTGCCGACTGTATGTAAAATGTCATACAGATGCATGGTAGTTTATTATCCTGAAGGATTTTCTTAGAATGAATGTTTGACTTCAAAAATTAGCATAAGAGTATCCTATGTGACTTGTGATATTGTGATTTATAGTAATACTAGAGGCCCGGTGCACAAAAATGTGTGCACTGGCGGGGAGGGAGTGTCCCTCAGCCCCACTTGTGCCCTCTCACAGTCTGGGACCCCTTGGGAGATAACGACCTGCTGGCTTAGGCCCGCTCCCGGGTGGCAGAGGGAAGGCCCAATCCCTAGGTGCAGCCCCTGGTCGGGCTCAGAGCAGGGCTGATTGGGGAGTTGGAGCGCCGCCCCCTGTCCTGCACAGAGCAGGGCGGATCAGGAGGTTGCGATGCCACCCCCAGTCACGCCCAGGGTAGGGCCAATTGGGGGGGTGTGCACCGCCCCCTGTCACACTCAAGGCAGGGTCGATGGGGAGGTTGCAGCGCCACCCCCTGTCACACACAGAGCAGGGCCGATCAGGAGGTTAGGGGCGGCTGCCCCCTGTCACA